CTTCATCATTTCTTCAATTGTAATAATTAACGCAACCTTGAAGTAACAAGAGGGCTGTAAATTGGCTAATCTTCCTCAGCATTTCAAATGGATATTATATCTAATACGTGTTTTCAGCTTTATCATGAGAACTTCGGCTACGATTTGATCCCCCATTAGCACCCGTCATCTGAAATGCTGGTAGCCTTTCTCCCTATTTATGTCACGAAAAAAAAAGTTTAATTTATTTGCACAAGAATTATTTTCGGACAATTTTCTGATGAATGGCGAGAAAATCAACGACGAGAGCAATGTAAAATATCAAATACTCACTGTTCTTTCCTTATTCTTAATCGCCGTCACATATAAACGAATCGCCACTCCCTTTAAACTGCTGACGTGGTATTTGAATGGTCCCTTATAAAAAAAAGCCCAGCAACGAGTTGTGTAACTTTTCCGGCAACATTTAACACTATATGTGGCACCATCTGTTATGATATTTTATTTAAAAACTGTTGATATTTTTAATTTTTATAAAATGGAAAAATGGTTAATTTTGAAAGTAGAGATGGGTTTTTATAAACAAAAAAATTGAAAATTCAAATTACGAGTAAAATATTAATTAAATCCGACCCTATTCGAGTTATGACAATCGATTTCTTCTATCTTTTCTCCCTGTCAACACTTATCCAAAAAATTTAATAGCATCAATCCGCCTAGTACAGAAAACTACCTGAAAAAGTTCAAAAATTTCTAGACGAAAACGCGCAGGAGTTATTAATCTTCAAAGAGAGTGAACAAAATCGTATCTCTCATACCATATACACACTAACATCTATAAATTCAGAAAAACAATTCGAAGTTTTTTGCATTTCTCGATGTCTCAAGGTTACTTCAGTCCAGAAATGTAGAAAACTTGAGGAATCGTTGTTTGACCGATTGCCATACTTTCCCTTTATTATATATATAATAGAGGTGGAAACTATAAAGTGACTTTTTGGTATCTTGAAACTGTTTTCCCAGTGGGCAGTAAAAGAGTTTGATCTTATACTATAAATGTAATTAGATTCGATTACTTTGATGGAACACCGAAGGCAACACCAAGGTATCTATAGAAAGAGAGGGGTTTTTGAGGAAAATGATCGATATTTGAAAATCAGACACGTTAAAATAATCTGTAAAACTTAAGACAGACTACCATATCTTGAGGCACAAACCCACCATCAACTAACAGTGTCATCTACTGGTGGGACTAGTAAGTTCCACCAGTTCCATAATGGAGATCTGAATAAGAATGGGGCAAGGCATACCCGAAATTGAATATATATAAAATACTATGATACTATCATACACATATATAGAATACCTGTGGAATTGCACTTCCAGATCCGACCCCCTGTACCGCATAGAAGGTAGGCTTGCCCATCCGTCCAGATTAAAACAGCCGAGATAATTAAAAATACACGTAAATACACTAATTAAAATGTAAAAAATAGCGTCAAGTCAGGAATTAAAATAGTTTTAAAGAATTTTAAAATAAAAATTCCTTAAATTTCTACAGTTGCAGTAGAATTTTCTCAAAACAATCGATAGGATATTTATCAGGAATAACCAATCAGATTGAAAACATTTGCTATTTTTTAATATTATACAATCAGACTAATGGCGATTTTCCTTCTGTCAAATGTTCGATTTTCGACTATTGCGAAAATCGAACATTAATTCCGACGTAAATTTATGACGTATGAACACAATTTAAATTTCTTAAAATATCATTTTATTGTCGCCATTTAGTTTTAATTCTAAGAAAACAGAAATTATATTGATTGTTCTGAAAAATGTCGTTTTAAAGGAAATTTTAGGCTTATAAATGCCCACTGTTGTCTGCCTGTATTACCTTAATCTCGAGAACGGAGTTAGACCGATGAAAGATGAAACCAGATTTGAGAACCATTGAGGTAGGAGGTTCGGATCCAGTATATATGCATATCAGAGGTAACTTTATTTCAATTCAAATATTCCTACATGAAAGGTGTTAGATGACCAGCACGATACTGTTTATAAAGGAAAAGTATGATGTACAGGAGAAAGACATATATTTCAAATTAAACAATTATTATAAATATAATTAAAAGTTGCAGCCGGCAATATTGTGACGATGTCACAATAAATAATTGCTCGTTACACTTATTATTATTATTTTCTTTATCGTTACACCGAGTGCTAAGTCTAACCAATTCTGGTTGATGGTCCAACTGACAAAAGAAATGAGAGTGAATTAAGGAAATAAAGAAACACAAATTATGGGCGATCTGTCTAGAAAAGATTACCTTTTTGAAGGACATTTTATAGAAAAATTTGTTTCTGTTTATCCAGAAAAATCTAATTATTTTATTTTGAAATACTCGTCTGATATAAAATTCCAAAGTGTAACAGGACTACAAACGTTAATAATTGTTGAAAATAAAATAAAATAAATAAGAAATTGTTTTTAGTGTAAAATTATACTTTAAAGTTCGTGATAAAAGCATACTAGGCTATCACTAATCAGGTGAATTCGTGCACAGAGAGGTAATAAAATAAATGGTTAGAATAATAATTATTACAAGTCATTTATATTATAAATACACAAAGTAATAAATTATTTAATCGCCTTGTAATAATTTTATTAAAAGTAGTGCACGCAATTTAATTAAACTAATAAATATGTAAGTCACTATTACAAAGGTCGAAGAAATTTTTAAAGTTAATGTCAGTAGAAGTAATAATAAAGTAAGTAAAACCGAGTAAAGAATTTATGTAAACAAATTCTTTTTAAATTACACTCGTGCAATTTCCTTTTTTATTCTAATTGTCTTGCTGTTTCAATAAATTCTCTCTTTTTAAAAGCAATATAACTTTAATTCTAAAAAAAGTAATTTTCATGTTTAATTTGAAATATCGAATAAAACGACATTAATAAAGTTTTTCCTTCAATCATGAAACTTCCTTACATTGAAAAACCTTAATTGATCCTACAGAAATATTTGTTTAAACGCTTTTAAAATTTAAATCAATTTTTTAACTGCCATAATTTGTATTTTTCGGCTTTTCGATAACGCAGAAACTCGAGAAATGGAGAAAAACCCCAATAAAAATATGTATGTGTGAGTTTGTATTAGTCTGTAGTTTACATATCTCATAACTGGATGTAAAAATTTCGAACTTTCGCATGGTTATGTGTATGTGTTTACATCAATGTGAATTTTGGTACATAAAAGTCGAGGTAAAAAGAGTAAAATATTTTTTATCTGCTGTTTGTACTTAATCAAAATATGACGGTTGGCCTATATTCAGTACAGGAACATTATTGCTTTTATAACTAATTGCCCTTTTTTATTTTTATCTTCAATTCTTATATTACTAATTGTTTTAGTTGTCTATTACGTAAATTTTTTTAGAACATTTTTATTTTCGATCCTTCGCAATATACTTTTGTTCTATTTATTTATATATATGTAAAATAAAATATATTGTTTTCTTATATTTAACGCTATTTTAGAATGAAAGCTTCTTACTTTTACTGCAATACAAGTTTTTTCGTATTTTATTTTTTCTGTACTATTTTTATGCTTTAAAATGTATTTATCATAGTCCAATAAGCAATCTTTGACGTATCTACAAAACAGTTTTATCCCGTTTGTATTATTAATTTGATAATGTAAGTATAATTAACTATACTAATAATCCATTATGTGAAAACCTGCATCTGGAATGCAGTAAAAAGAAAAAATTAAATATAAATATTATATTTAACATTAACTAAATGTAAAAGTTTTATATATATAAATTAACTTAATTTGTTAAACCGTGAAAAAACAAAAAAGACAAATTTTTATCTTTCCAACATCTTTACATTTTCTCTGATGGAAAGGATGTTGTAGTTCCTGCCACAATAACAGATAGGCTAATATAATTTCATTAAAAGCCTGCCCGATTGGCCAGAATATCTGTATAAAAAGAAAACAGTACCCTCTTTCGGGGCTGCTTTCTAGTCACCGTGAACAGTCATGGTTTGAATCACACTTGTCTGTGCGAGAAGTTACTCGAATTCCTTACCTGATGATAGAACACCGACCCAACCTCTGAATTAACGGTTTTCAACCTGACAGTAATTTACTAATTTAGCAATGCAGTTGAATTCTTATTAAGTCGTAATATGGTTAATTAATACTTACTCTCGTCATATCTTTAATAATTGTAAATAATTCTGTAGAATATTGTGGAGCTAAGTTTAAGTTTGTTGAGTGTCATGGAAAGCCGTCGTCGCATATATAATTTCAATTTTGCTCACACAATATAACAATAGCCACTATAGTTACACGTACTAAATAAGCTGATATGGAAGCTAAAACAGTACGGATTTCCAGATAGCCTAAGTAGTAATACATCTGCACGGTATGTAAAAGGTGTGGATTCGATTCCAGCTCTAGTAGAATTTTATTTTACACAGTAGTTAACGTTAAATTAAATTATTCAGAGTGCACGCAGCATGACATCATGAATGACTTCATATGATGACAATGAAAATGTAAGGTAAATCCTTTAATTATTAACGTATGTCGAATTTGGTTTTAAATGGAAGTAATTCACTTCTGTAATAACAGTTTATAATTATTAGAAACAATCTGTTAATATACTTTTTTTATTTTTTATTTTTATGGAATATTTTATGTGAGATCCGAATAGCCCCTGGGTCTAATTAACAATTTAAATATAAAATTAAATTTATGAAATAAAATATTCTTTCATTTTGGTGTGAAATTAACGGTTTTCTAACGTGGGAAAACTGATAAAAAAAGCCACTTCCTTTAATGGAAGTTAAAGCATCCTTTGTTTTTCCACTTATCTATTACAAATCTCGCCACACTGGGAACTGGTGACCCCTCAATAATTCCCCTTTTCATCCGTTCACGTGAGAGAATGCAAAATGTGCTGACTAATCCCAAATGATAGGATATAGTCAAAGATCTGCATGATTCATGGAGTACGTCGAAAGATCTCATAGGAAACGGAGGTATCCCATATTCGCTCCCTAAGGCCAACGCCCTTAGGAGTACGCCGTAAGATCTCAGAGAAGACCGACGTAGTTCATATTGTCTCCCTAAGGCCAACGCCCTTAGTCGTCTTCAGTCAAGTACACTAAGGAGTTAATATATTTTCTTCGGTTCTCCTATATTATCTGGTACCAATTCAAGACCTCTCCATTAAAGGACGTATAAATCCTCTAATATAAAATAAGATAAGGATAAAGTAAATTGAGGTAGAATCTTTATAACTAAATTTGTGAGCTCTCTCTCTCGAAGTGTATATTTTAAGTAATCCATTGTCTCATTCGTTTAATTATATTTTGATCTATTCCATTTGTGTAATTTTATTTACTTTTATTTTATTAAAACTTTTATTATTTGTTATCTGAATCCAATTCATATTATCCCCACACGCGTGTTAATTCGCGTGATATAAAACCGATTAACTGGTGTCAAGGAATCCTGACGTAGATCTAGATTTTATCCTTGTAACGGACACTTTGTGATTGGTCGAGTTGCCAGTGGCGCGAAACTATTGAATCGTGGGATTATGACAAAACGCCCCTAAGGCAGAACACCCCTAACCGCGAAAACGGAAGTCGTTGGGAGAATAACCCTGCGCGGTACGAGAGGAACCGCAGGGTCAGTCACTTTTTGGTTTGGTCTCTGGTTGTGAGGACGTCGAAGCGCGAGAAGCAAGAAGAACGAACGTATACCCCAGAATAGATTTGAACCTTGGGATACGGACTCACCACTTTGAACTTGTACCTGGCTAAGATTCCCGTTAGCCGTAACAAATTGGAGCCACCAGTGAGAACAGAGGTTCATCACATCTGAATAAAAAGAAAAGAACGAAAAAAGAAACGACGGCAAGGTTCAACTTGAAAGGAAGAGAAAACGGTAAGTTCATTGTTCCTTTGTCTCATACACAAGGTCCAGCGATAATTAGGTTTTGCGACCAGGGATAATTATATACGGTATAATCATAAAATAAGTTACAGTTTGGGTAGCTCAATATTAAATTGTGACAGGAATTATTATATCTAACCAAAATGCCGAAAAAGTTGGCCATGAAAGACAAAATTGATATTTTAGAGGATAGAATTGCTTCTAAAGATAACGAAATTATACAACTAAAATCAATTATTTGTGAATTACAAAATAAAATTAAAAATCTTGAGAAAAAAGAAGAAAATAGATACAGGAACATCGAATACTCTGGAAGGGAACGAGAACCTTCCCCTCCTGTTCTCGAGGATGATAGAAAGTCCGACGTTTCGTCTGTTTCTCCTGTTAACCTGATAATGAATTTAATAAACCAAATTAAAGAGGAATTCGAAAAACAGATATAATAAACTTGAAAATACGTTTGTAAATACGAAATATGCTGACTCACATCTCTCGACCAGTCCTTCACTTACGAAAGGTCCTACTATTCCACAAAAGTTAATATCTTGGCCCGTGTTTGATCCACAGAATATAAATATTTGGCTGGAAAAGCTGCAAGGAATAAAGGAGTGTTTCGAATTAGACGATACAACATTTATCTCCACACTAAAGTTACAATCAGATATAGATTTAGTAAAAAGAATCAGGCTAGAAGAGGCAAAAGGATATGAATTAACCTGGCCTAGATTGAAAGCACAGATTAAAAAATGGTATGAAACAGATTCCACTGTGAAGAAAACAATTAAAATGTACGACAGAATTCAAGGGAGATTAGAATCGGCCTTTTCATATGTGTTAGATAAACTAGAATTAATTAATTCTTTAAATCATGAATATTCGGAGATGGAAAAAATAGAATTATTAAACAATGGTTTGCAAAAGGAAGAAAGAATGGCTATTGCGAATAAAACATTCCATATCTTAGATGACTATACCAACGCCATTATAGAATTAGACTCGATAACAAAGAGAGAGCGCGAAAAATACTACAAAAGTTTCAGTTTAGGTGAATGTTCAAACAGGCCTAATGGAGTTTCAAGGTCGCATAAGCCTTACAGCCATTTTTACAAAGGACAATCGAGTCGTCAAAATCGTGAACTAATGGACCCTGAAAGAAAATCTGTATACAATAAGCGTTCTAAAACCTTTAGGAGAACTAACAATAGAAACAATGACGTACAACCAGAACATGCTATATCTCGAAATCAGACAGTCTCAGAAGAAAGTTCTCACGATATTATTTGCCATAACTGCTGGAATAGGGGTCATTATAAGAAAAGCTGTAAACATCCAAAATTTTATGCATTTGAAAAAATGCGCCAACTCATGGATAAACTCGAAAATCAAAATGAGGAACAAAAAAACTAATGGATCGGGCTCCCGAGGGAGAGCCCTGTTTTCAAGCTGCTAGAATCCCTCCTTATCTTTTAGAGTGTCTTGCAATTTCAAAATCAAAGTTGCGCACTATTAATTTGGAAATTGAAGGATCTCCATTTAGTGCCATCATTGATACGGCCTCAGAGAAATCATTGATAAGCCGAAAACTGTGTAAAGAATTAAGACTAAAAATACGTCCTGAATCTATTAAACTAATTGTAGCAGATAATAGAAAGATAGAGTGTGAAGGTACTTGTATGTGTAGACTACAAATAATGGGAAATAGTATTGAATTTGTGTTTGTAGTATTGGAAAATTTTCCACATGATTTATTACTAGGTAGTGATTTTTGTGAACAAATGAAAGCAACCATCAACTTCAGAGACAACTTATTTATAGTGCCAATGGGAGAGAATTGTATAAGTCAAATTCAAACGCCCCTTTTACATCATAGCAATGCAAAATTCCGTACCACCGAAGAAACACTTGTGAATGCTTTTACTATGCGTGCTGTAAAAGTTCGCTGTCCAATTAAACAGGGTACAGTAGAAATAAAGAACGAAATGGGCGAGAATGGTATCAATGTTTTATCAGGTATTTGTGATGTGAGAAACAATGAGTGTATAATTTTAGTATTAAATAGCACTCCAACTCCTGTTTTACTTCCAGCAGAATCTACTGTTGCCAAAGGGAAACCATGTGAAAAATATTCCTTTATAAACTTGTCCTTATCATCACAATCAGACAGTAAAGCAACAGATTCAAATATTATTAGGCCAAACACTAGCCCATTGAAAGAAAGAAATGTTAGCTTATTTGTTCATTCTTATCGAAAACTAAATATAGAGTCATTTACTTTTAATATCGGGAATGATTTATCTGAAGATTCTGTAAAACAAATAGAGGAGGTATTGAGAGAAAACCTAGACGTATTTGCCAAAAACAGTTTCGATCTTGGCATATGCACCCTAGGATTCCATGAAATAGTAACGAAGCCTGATGTTAAGCCAATTAAGCGAAACTCTTACAGAATGTCTCCTTATCAACGAGAAATTGTCAGAGATTTAGTAGAACAAATGCTTCAAGCTGGTATAATTAGGCCATCAAAGAGTCCGTGGGCCTCACCTATAGTGCTAGTACCAAAAAAAGATGGGAAACATCGGTTATGTGTGGATTATCGTCGTCTAAATAGTCTCACAGTCTCAGATACTTATCCCCTACCTCGTATAGATGATGCGTTAGAAATCTTGGGAGGAAACAAACTCTATTCGGTAATCGATTTAGCCTCTGGATTTTGGCAGATACCCATGGCTGAAAGTGATATATGTAAGTCCGCATTTATAATCCCAGATGGCATATATGAGTTTTTGAAGATGCCATTCGGTATGAAAGGAGCCCCAGCAACATGTCAGAGGATAGTTGATCAGGTTTTAGGTGATCTAAAGTGGAAGGAGGCCCTTACATATATCGACGATACTATAGCATTTTCCAAAGACCTCCCATCACATTTGAAATTACTAAACGAATTGTTCAAAAGATTTAGAAATGCTCAATTGAAAGCTAAACCTGAAAAATGCATATTTGCCGCTAATCACATCAAGTTTCTTGGATACATCGTTGAAGATGTAGGTTGTAAAACCGACCCAGAGAAAGTAAAGGCAATTACTGAAATGAAAGTGCCCACTACAGTGAAAGAACTTCGATCCTTCTTAGGAATGTGTGGATATTTTAGACGATTCATAAAGGATTTCTCGACTATCGCCACACCATTATTCCGTTTACTTAGAACCAATCAAAAATTCATTTGGAGAGATATCGAACAAGAAAGTTTTGTACGATTAAAGGAAAGTCTATGTAACTCACCAGTTTTAAGTCATTTTGACCCAGAAAGAATGTGTTATATACATACAGATGCATGTGATGTAGGATTAGGAGCTACTCTGTTTCAAAAGGATAATGATGGAAGAGAACATCCCGTATGCTACATCAGCCGAACGCTCAATAAAAGTGAGTGTAATTATCCTACGACACAGAAGGAATGTTTAGCCATTAAATGGGCTATCGAGAAACTACGTCCGTACATCTATGGCAAAAAGTTTATAGTTGTAACTGATCACCACAGTTTGTGTTGGCTAATGCGCTTAAAAGACGCGAATAGTCGTCTGTGTAGATGGTCGTTAAGCCTTCAGTGTTACGACTTTGATGTAATATACAAACAAGGTGCATCTCATAAATGTCCTGATTGTCTCAGCCGAATTCCAAATGAAGATAACATAGACCTGGAATGCAAAGAGGACGACTTCTCCTTATTCACTACTACTGTGGAGAACGTTGACATGTTAAAAGCACAAACAGAAGATGCATTTTGCCAGGAAATAAAAAGTATTATTACAGGGAGCAGTAATAACGCTAACAATTCGAAACGAGTTCACACTACTAAGCGTTACTTCCTACATGAAGGTATTCTTTATAAACATCTTTATCTTCCAACTGGTATAAAACAAGTGCTGGTTTTACCTAAAAGCCTGCAGTTGGAAGTTCTTCAAGCTGCTCACTCTAGCAAATTTGGTGGACACTTTGCAGTTAAGAAAACGTACGAAAAAGTACAATCAAGATACTTTTGGCCAAAAATGTTTCGTATGATTCGTGATTACGTAAGAGCATGTCCATCCTGTCAATTAAGACTAGGTCCTAATGGTCCTAAAGCAGGTATGCTGATGCCAGTACCAGTTCACGCACCCTTCGAAAGAGTCTCACTAGATCTAGCTGGCCCATGGCCTAAAGATAAGCTAGGACGTACTCATGCAATAGTTGCAGTGTGTGATTTCACTGGTTATGTGGAAGTAGGTGCGCTCCGGAGCGAATGCTCCGAGGATGTAATTGACTTCATAGAAAATTTCATCGTTTTAAGGCACGGTTGTCCTCGAGAAGTAAGGACTGACCGAGGCTCGCAATTTATCTCCAAAGCAACACAAACGTTTTTGAAAATTAGGTGCATAGGCTCGAAGCATACTTCTGCCTATCATCCTCAAGGAAACGGTCTTGCAGAAAGAACAATAAGAACAATTAAAAATATTTTAAATCATTTTTACAAAGCAAACCGTAAAAATTGGTCAGAATTGTTAAATTACGCAGCCTTCGCATATAATACCACATATAGTGAGCCTAGAGGCTTCACTCCGTTCTATTTGGTATATGGTAGAGACCCTCTATTACCCACTGATCTACATTTAAATAGAATCAATTTTGTAGATAACGACGAATTGGCTGATACAAATATTCCTGTCTGGGTTAGGCGCGCGGAAGCCGCTCGTGAAATTGCGCTAGGTTATATTGCTAACGCAAAGGACCTTTGTATGAACAAATACAATGAACGCCGACAATTTCGTGAATACTTTAAAGGACAACTAGTATTACTGGCTATTCCCAAACAATTACAGAAGGGCAAACCCATAAAATATAAAGGTCCCTTCAGAATTGTAAGCAAGCTGAACGATAACAACTACGAAATAGAAGCTATTGATTGTAAACCTCATAGTAGCCCTTGGCTTGATGTGGTCCATGTGGAGCGCTTGAAACCGTTCTATACACCGAAGTTCATCATGAAGTCCCTAGATCAAAGAGAGGAAAAGGAATCATCGTTGACGCAAGAGAGCAGTGATTCCGACGAAGAACCAGAACCCGATGACCCGCGAGATGCAGATTACATCACCGACGATCTCCCAGAAAGTAAGAAGAAATACTATCTTCGTCCTCGTAAATCGTAACTACGATATCTACAGGAGAATTGTTACGAGCCGAGACGTCTCGTCCTAAAGGGGGGAGTACTGTAACGGACACTTTGTACCATACATGTGATTGGTCGAGTTGCCAGTGGCGCGAAGCTATTGTTCGTGGGATTATGACTAAACGCCCCTAAGGCGGAAGACCCCTAACCGCGAAAACGGAAGTCGTTGGGAGAATAACCCTGCGCGGTACGAGAGGAACCGCAGGGTCAGTCACTTTTTGGTTTGGTCTCTGGTTGTGAGGACGTCGAAGCGCGAGAAGCAAGAAGAACGAACGTATACCCCAGAATAGATTTGAACCTTAAGGTACGGACTCACCACTTTGAACTTGTACCTGGCTAAGATTCCCGTTAGCCGTAACAATCCTCTAGATCGGTTTAAATATTAACAGCCCTCCTAAAAAAATATTTAGAAATCGAAACTTACGATTTTGTGCCGATTAAGTGATACCCTTGGCAGGTACCCCCGGCTTATCTCAAATTTATTATTGTGTATCTAAGCAATATCTTGCATAGTATTTCTCTGTTCCCACAGAATTTTTCATACAACGGATAAAGAAACAACGCAGTTAAATATTTATTTATATAAATTCTGTACCGTTCATGCAATAAATCTGAAGCAATTTCTACACAATTTTATTTTCCTTATTCAATTTATTGATTACCACATACACATTTTTACACAATCGATGCAATACAGGGGGTATACAGATATCTACCAATAATAAAATTTTTCTCGACAAAGTGATTGCAAGAAAGTGATTCACGTGGACCGGGTAAAATAGATTGATGAAAAACGACACAACAACGAACTGTCCAATTCAGTGGTTATGTCGCCTTCCAAGTAAAGACCGCAATCAGAATCAAGTATTTAGTGCTTTTTACCCAATCTGTTACTGTTACACGCAATCTTTAAAAGAAAATTCTTTTTTGTGGCCAAGAAAGATGAAAGTCAACCACAGAAGCCACCGATAAAACAATTGAGAAACTGCTACAAGTTTTAAAACAGATTCACAAACATTTTTTTTTATTCATTCTTCTCGCAAAAAATGGTGTCCTTCTGGTTTACCTTACTCAGCACTATTATCGAATATCTAACAATAATTTTATATAAGATTCAGACTTTATATATTTTTTTCAATATTTATGACATTGCGTGTTATTTTTCACAATACTTCAAATATTTCATAGCAAATATCATAATCAG